CTTCCGATAGTCTACCATCAGATCCTAGGGTTTCTTATAGCAATAATCATGGTAAGCAGCTATTTCAGTTCTTAATTTGTTCTTTTTGCTATTGTTTTCATGCGGTTAATGTTGATTTGCGCGATTTACTTTGTCTGGGATATGTATAAGCTTTGAGAGGCATTCTGATCTTTTCTTACCTGCTGCGCGGTTAGTGATAAGTCGACGTTTCTTTTTTCCAGTTGTTAATCGGAATTTTTTTTTGAGAATTTTATACCTTGAGCTTCGATTACATGCAAATTTGAACATTCTGTGAAGTTAGAGAGTCAGAAGATTGAGTGAATTGGAGTTCTCTGTTTCATAAGGTTGTGAAAATTGTATTGGACATCAACTGGAAGTAGAAGTTCAAGGATTGCTGTTTTGATTGGGGGTTGAATCGGATGACCTAATAAATATAAAGTTTATTTAGATATAATTTAAATGATGCAATAATAATGAAATAGTATAAATATATAAGTAGTATATTCAATTATTGAAAATTTTTAAAAAATTAATATTAAATTGCTAACCTTTTTTTGTTGTCATAAGCAAAATGTCAAATCAAATATGAAAATTATTATGATTTATCGTACTTATTCATTTTGTGTTTGCAATTATGAACTGAAAGGTAAAAAAATGATAACACTGGTGCTTCAAAACACAAATAACAGCTTAGTTAATGTGCTAATGAAGTATAATTTTCAGGATTCAATACTCACCATTATTTATAATTTCACCCAAAGGTACAAAAAATACAACTTGAAATAACAAGTTTAAAATTATAAGTAGTTTAGTCTAAAAAAGAATCATATTCAAAATTTATCTCCTATAAATATTTTTCATGAAATTAGCTTCCCTTAAATTTTTTCTCTCCACTAGCTCCCACTCTAAAAGCTTCTAAATTAACACATATAATATTTTCAATTTTATCATTATCGCAGTTGCTTTCATCTGCACATTCAAGTTGCAGACGTGCATTATAACCAAAAAAAAAAAAAAGATCAATTTAGAAAATAAGGAACTTATGCTAAGTTTGCATATTGAATTTCATGCTGGTCTCTTTAGTAGATGAAATAATATATTCTCTTCAAGTTTTATTTTCTAGATTATCATAGTTAAATTCAAGAATATGATGTTTATCAAATATTCAAAAAATCTTCCATCTCAATGCCTGCATAATCTAAAGGACAATCTATAAAGTAAATATGAGGTTTTTTTTAGTATCTGTTATCATCTATTGATTCTATTTTTTCTTAAAAAAATAAATAAAGATGATGCCTATTTCTCAAATTAAGGTTGTGTCAACCATTCATGCGTTCATTTAACTTTTGATGCTCCAAATGATTTTTTATCTTTGTGTGAATTTGCTTAAAAATACTCTCATCACTTTCACATCCTATGAAAGAAGTTTGATTAACTAACTTTTATAAATTTGAAATCTTGAGCTAAATATTTTCCACTATTTATATGAAAATTAACATTTAAAGAATATTCAAATAAAATATATGTGGAAATAAGTATATAAAATTTAAATTTGCATGGTTGCATTTCTTTTGCTGATATTAAAGCTATAGAATTTTCAATATTTTTTAAATTATTACAAAAATTTTAATCTCATTCATCATTAATGTAGGTTAAGGGCATATATCTTTGTTTTCTGTAATTTCAACTAAGTTTTACATGTTTTCAAGTTTATGACAATAGTTCTCTTTATAATACTAAAAATAAGAGCTAAAGAATATGCGGCTGTGTGGATGTTCTGTTAAATTTGATTCTCATCTTATATTTATGATGCCAGTATATATTTCGTACGATGTTTTTATATTTTAATATTTTTAAATATATTTTTTATATTTTTATATTTTTAAATAAATTTGATTCTCATCTTTTGTTATTGGGTTTCTTAGATGTGAATGAAATTCTTTCAATCTGTTCATGATTGCAGAATAAACTTGGAAGGGGTCACCGAGACAAAGTTCAGCAGTTTATGGCAATAACTGGAACTAGGTATTTTTTTTTATTTAAAATATGCATTTTTGGTTTATGCAGACCTTCACTTTCATTTGACATATTGTATTGCTGGACTATGGCTGCTACTTATTCTTTGATGTGCTAAAAATTTTGCTATGTTTGATGTTAAAACTATACTTTCTGATTGGTTCATGCATGTGCAAGGGTGTAATTTTTCTTTTGTTTTTTTATTTGAGAAAAACTGGAGTAGATATTATATATCATGATTTGCTTGCCAGAGTCAACAACTTTCATGTTTCATTTTGTAGAATTCATTTTGTTGATTTTCTATTCCATTGGCCTCTATTTATTGCATATTTTGAACAAAGGCAAAGAGCGTTATATCATAAAATATACTGTCTATAGAATATTATAATTTATTTCTCTTTTGTATTGTTGATCTTTCTTTATCTGTTCAGTGAAAAGGTTGCCCTTCAGGCCTTGAAATCCAGTGATTGGCACTTAGAGGGAGCATTTGATATATTTTACAGCCAACCACATATCCGAGCGACTACAGATTCTAGACATCTTGAAGAGCTTTATAACAGATACAAAGGCTAGTTCTAATCTTCTACTTCTTTATGTTTATACAGTTCTAATTGATGTCAACGCGGACACCAGGACACTTAGTTGATTTAATCAAGTGCGGTACCCACAATGGATACGGTTAGGATAAGAACCAGCTTTTGGTTGTCATTGTCATGACATTTTTACTTCTTTGAACTTTCAATCATGCATTGGAATGCCTGGAGCAACACTTATAGCAGACCATAATTTTATATGAAAATGCTTATAATTTTAGGAATGTTCTTACACTTCTATTTTGTTGGAATATGTGAAAAAAAATATCAATTTGTGGATTGTTTTTATATTGTTACCACAACTTTTAAAGAATTCGTTTGTCTTCTTTGTACGGTTAAGTGTGACAATCATGTGTATTATTTGATGGATGCATATGTTTGTATGTTAGCGATGGGGTGGGATTTTTTTTGGAAAGTATGGCCACACAAATGACTGCTTGTGCTTTTTTTTGCTATAATGTTAAATAATTATATTTTTCACGCGGGCTTCAGACTAATATTGATGGTCTTGATTTTCCTAAATGTTCACCTTAACGGGCTTATAAATGCTAAAATTAATATTCAATTGGTTTAGGAATAACTTGCTTATTTATTAAAGCTTCTACTAGGAACTAATTTGATTAACAAATAAAATAATAACAAGGAGATCATGTCAAACAAAAAACACCAGAATTTATGTGGTTTGACTAAAATAAATTTTTATGTTTTGAAAGAGGAGATTGATCAAGAATTCATATATTGTGGAAATAAATAGGACATGAGAAATATTTTTTCTTAATCACGAATCTCATCACAAAAGGAGACCCACATCTCAAAAGTGAAACCAATAGATAAATGTCTAAGTATATTGAAAAAATAAAATACAAGAATCACATAGATAGATCATAAATATAGACATCTAAGTCATACCAAAGTTCTCTTTTTAAATGCTTCTCAAAGATGTCACCACAAAAGTTCTCTATACCTTCTTTTTCTTACCTCCATTGTTGTTGCTTCAACCTTCAAGCACGCCCTAGTTTTTCTTTTCTTTATTTTATTTAAAATAATTAAAGGTCAATTTTTTGGTTCAAATTAGATTTGACACTGATCCAAGGATTAAGCATGTAGCAAATATTAAAATCTAGCTCTTATTCAATAAGATAGTGCAAACAATTTTGTATTTATTTGTAAAATCATATATTTTGAATTTTGTGCTTGCCAAATCAATTTAATGGTTTGTATTAATAAATTTGAGTCAATCCTATTAATCCTTCCATGGACTCAAAATTTTGCTATATAATATGAATATCCCATCACTTTATACTCCAAGCTAAGCTTTTTTTTTTGCTCCTAATAGATTGATGGTTTGAGCGCCATTCTAGCACATAAAGCTCAGATGCTGCTTGAATTTAGTAACTACGAGATAACTACACACCAAAGTTGATTCACTCATAATAAAATTGTGCCTATCATTGAATCTTTATACTCCTGAAGTTGTTATGTTTTTGTTGAATGCTACAGTATTACGACCTTGTACCAGGATTCATTGTGCTATGTTTATCCATTAAGCTTTTTTAGCCTACCCTCAACATGTGCTGTTCTTTGTTTTGAAACTTGAAATACGGCCATGAAGCAAAATTTTCTTATTTGCTAAGTCTCATTAACATAACTGATGATGAAGTCAAAACAACTCCACTTGCTGTCTTCCCTATAATATATAGAGTCCATGAACTCCCTTTGCTTTCATGATAACCTATCCACTCATGAAAACATAACAACTATATCATCTCATGAGAATCTAAATTCTGTTATGCTAAGGATGCTAAAAATTATATGATTCTTACATAATTTGGCACATACTTGAGACCGGTAATTCGGTTAACGTGCTATTCACACCTTCTTGCATTTCTAACTTTTTCATACTAAAATTTGCTATGTTCAAATTTTCTTATATAAACATATTATTAGGGCATGACTTATAAGTGAAAAATGATTTCTTTTGGAGGAACATATATGGCCCAGTTAGGTCAAGAATACCCCATTCAACTTATTAGTTTGTTTCATTGAAAGAGCATCACTTGAATTTGGGTGTGTAATTTTGGGGCACAAAATGAATACTTTGGGTTTGGGTCAACCTATGTAAGATTCAGGCCCGGTTATGGTCAGCTAAAGTGACCGAATAATGGTTTAATTATTTGATTTTTTTTTTAGCTCATAATTTGCTTTAATTTTTTTTGGAGTCGTTATGTTGAAATTTGGTGATCATACTCTTCTCGAGTTGGGTTGAAGCTAACTTACTGCAAATTAATTTTTTTTTTTACATTTTGTGTTGGCTTAGGTTTGAATTTGGTATAGTTGTGCTGCTTTGAGAATTCTATGCATTTAAAAAATGGGCTAAGTTGACTATATTCACATCGGGTCATTTCGAGTCCAACACTAATTTGACCTTTATGCTCGAATTTACATGGCTCGTAGTGGTAAGGATGTACTGCACAAACATAATTTTGAGTTTAATAAGCAATTAATAGGCCTTACACAATTAATTTCATTTATTTGTTCTTCCCCGTGAACTTAACCTCAATTTTTTTTTTATAGAAATAGTCGGAAAGATAAGGCCAAGTCATTTAAATTCTTATCTTGTTCTATTTAAAATTAGGTGCAGGGGATTGTGGGTTTTGGTTGTTGCTAGGTTAGAGGAGATTGTTGAGAAATTTGTTTGCAGCTACGGGAGGTAGGAGCAATTTTGCGGAGGTAGCAGGGAAGGGCTGAGATGGACAACAGGTTAGGATACTACAGTTTGTTTGGGGGGGGATCAGCGGTCGGGAAAGATGAAGTGGCTTGCGGCTAGGATCACAGGGAGGATGTGGAAGGTCGAGAATAATCACCACCAAGCGAGATACAACCCGAGCATCACTTGTCTTTGGATACAACACCTATTTAATCGACCTACCAGAGTACTTGACGTCATGCTACACCAGAAGTTTTGACGAATGAAGTCGAAGCTCCCCTAATCCCAGAAAACTGACGTGGGACTTAGGAGGGCTGACCAGCTGGTTCAGCTAAACCAGTTTAGTCATACTGTTGCTTGGACCGACCAGTCCAAGGGGGCTAGTTTTATTGCCCAAGTGGAGGAGGCTCCCCCTCCCTACCTATCTTCTACTATAAATAGGTCCTTATTTTGTTTATTGTTTGTTTTTTTGTGAGTTTTTGTGAGAGTCCTGTTTGGACAGCCGCTGGTGTCCCCTTTTCCATTTCTAGGGTTGTATCATTAAAAGATTTTTTTCCCTTAAAGGAAATAGGTGTTGTGATTTCAAAACACGTTCTAATAGAATAGGTTTCCGTCCACCTTTGGCACAACCTGAGCTCAAACTGTAGATAGATGAATATTCTCACAATCCAAATATCGCACCATCCCAGTTGTAACATGCTTCTTCCACTCATCGTATTGCTGAGTGCAACTTATTAACTAGTATGTGAGGAGAAATCAACAAGGGTGAAATCTATGGCAGGTTGCATCACTCTTACTAGCATCCACTTAGGGGAGACCTCTTCTTCACTGATAGGACTTAGATCTATTGATGAATTTTTTGGGGTCATCTCTTCTATTTGGACATCTGACGGTAGGTACCTTGCTGAACTGAAATAACCTCTGAATAACCTCACGTAATATTCTCTACATGGTACGAAATGACCCCACTCTGACATGCTGGACCTCCCTTCGTTGGGATAACTCGGGAAGGGGTCTATATATCTAAAAAAACTGCATTTTTCTTATCTATGGCAGCCTTGTGTCTGATGTCGGTTCGTCAAATTCATTACCCTTTTGGACATCCAAGGAAATCCTGTTGATGCTCCACTCAACGCCTGCAAAATGGTATCTTGAGGCACTATAATCTCGTAATATGTAGGGATGTCTATTACATCAGATTCACTACCTTCTAGAATAACTAATGTTACCTCAGTCGGAATCTCTATCTTGGGGTCAACGGAAATCGATGACGCCTCTTCCTTGTTGGCTGAAAATTGAGAATCCTCTTTAAAGTTGTCATGTTCTTCTGAGTCATCATTCATCTCTTCAACTGGAAGTTGATCTTCCTCCTTTATGTCCTTCGCGTCTTTAGTATCTACTGTGTCATTACTTAATTTTTCATGGAAGCCCCGCTCAATGAAACAGATCCCCCCCCGATTGTGCAGTTTGATTCAACATGCCTAAATTCATGGCACTTGCAATATTTTTTTGTTGTGACAAATTTAAGGATGTGGACTGATTCCACCTGTTATCCCCTCTGAATCAATTTTTCCTCTAATAGGGTCTTCCCGGTGGTTCTCCTCGGTGTACTCTGGCTATAACATTCCGAGATTGAATTTTACCTGTAAGATGAGATGGTTACTCAGTGATGTAGTCTTTCCACTTCTGATGTTAGGTTTTGAATTTTCAGCCTGTGGTAAACTGATTGGTACTGACATTATACCTTCCGCTTTATTCTCATCTTCTCTCGTTCTTTGTATGATGACTATTTTCTCGACCTCCTATGATATTACTGGATTCCACAATGTCATGATTGTTCTTCAACATCATTAAAGTCCTCCCAATGGAAGGGATTCAGATTCTCGTCTCTGGCTCCCCCTTCGACTTTAGTGATGAAGAAGAACAAGGATAATCAGTGGAGATTAGTGGCTGAAGTTGAGGGAAATATGAAGTGGCTTGCAGCTATGATCACAGGGAGGATGGGGAAGGTCGCACCACCGTGGAGCGAGATACAACCAGAGCATCACTTGTACTCGGATGCCACCTATTTGATCGACCTACCAGGGCATTTAACGTCGTGCTACGAGGAGCCAAAAACTTTCACGAATAAAGTCAAAGCTCCTCTAACCTACTTCTTCCACTCCACGTATTTGGCTGAGTGCAGCTTATGAACTCATATGTGAGGAGAAATCAACAAGGGTGAAATCTGTGGCAGGCTGCATCACTCTCACTAGCACCCATTTAGGG